TTGTAGCAAGTATCATAATTCATAAGTCGGTCGGAAGTTCAGAAAGATGCCTCGCACCCGAATTGTGTCGCGTCAGGCGAAGCGCGAGAAAGCCGACCAAGAGGAGAAGGTACGCCTAACTCAAATCAAGATCGATGCCGTTCTGGAGCAGGTCGATGAGCTTGAGAAGCGCGCCAAGAATCAGGTTTACACTCAAATCAAGCTCATCCACGCCCGGACTGACAATCATTTTCTTGAGATGAAAATGTCGGAGTTTTTGAATCTGAAGCTGAAATATTTCACCGACTACAAGTGGAAGGGTAAGTGAATGCAAATACTTGCTACTATGACAGCCTCACAGTTATCCTCTTCAGTTCCCGAGCCACCAACCAGCCGAGCACGCAGCAGCTCGATCAGCACCGCTCGCGGACGTTCGCGTACTCCCCAGACCTCCCTTCTGCCGCGCTCACTCATACAATCGATGGACAGGGGTAATTTTAACCGTGGAAGAACCCCACAGAAAGTGCCACCCATGCCTTTTTTACGTTTTCCACGCGCCGGAGAGTTGGTGCTGTCCAGTGGAGGCAGCCCGCTGGCTGTTCAGACTGATCGGCGGGAGGACTGTGCCGACGTACACATACCCACCAAAAAGGGCGTGTTCATGGTAAAACCTCTTAAAATGAAGCAGGTGAACCGTGAGGTGCTCATGCAACTGGACGCGAATGTACTGAACCAAGTGAAGACTTTGAAGAGTAATCTAGAAGTAATTGTGGACATGGCCACCAAAATGGGCAAGATGTAGTGTACGCCCTGCCCTGGACCGCTACTTTGGACGAGCTTACAACCAGTAATACCCGACAAAGATGTATGTAAGAAATAAGTGGATAATACATTTTTCTAAGTATAAAATAATATTATATTACATAGGTACAAAATGGATTACTCATATGGAACAAATGGCAAACTTAAGTTTGCTTGCTAAACTCGACTTTGATCTTGCCACGAACCACGCCTTATCCAACCCAATCAACCAATCCTCCAATCAACAATGCCTTCTGCTGCTCCATCCCAACTAACTTTTTTCGTTTCATTTTGTATCCTCTACAGAATGATGAATAAATTATATTAAAACCAATGATGTGCTCGTATCAGTTGGTAATCCCATGTCAAGCCAGCTGTAGCATGAGAACATTAAACTCACATTACAATGGGAATAAAAAGTACCTTTTACGTACATCTAGCTTACTGAATAACGAAGCCGTTTTGTTCATTCATTTTCAAACCACTTTCACTTCCATCAACCTCAATTTATTAGCCAAAAGAAGTAGAGAAGAAAATTACAGACAACATTAGCTTGCCGATTGCTGCAGACCAGGCTAGTATTGGGGAGTTCAATTTTTCAGGACTGCTGTTGGGTTGGGTTTTGCTCGAAGTCCACGGGGTGCATTTAAGGCTATAGCCGATTTTATTGTAAATATTTGGCTCGTTTAGAGCTAATGACACCTCGGGGACCACCAGCGAGTCGTGTAATGCTAATGGGTCTATGGAGTGCCAATTTGTCTGTCAGAATATACAGGGTGAAAATAGGGAGAGTGAGTCTTCTTGTTGTATTTATTATTAAGGGAGCTATGGTTGATTTTAAATTTGAACAGAACAAGTAGAGGCGTCCCGGCTGTTACTTGGGGCGCTTCAATATCTTTGAGTCACTCAAGGACGGAAAGTACTCCAGGCTATTGAGATCGGGGGCTTGGGGCTTGAACGGCATCGTAGACGGAGCCTTGCGCTGAAGTGGCTGCGCCTTGCGTTTGTTAAAGTCGCCCTGGCTCTGACGGAGAGCCGGGGGAATGTAGATTTGTTTCTTGACCACCGGGGTATTCGCTTTCCTGTCTGATTGTCCCTGGCTATCCTGCTCCGACTTCTGCCAGGGACATGTTGTGGCAAGCGCGCGTTCCCCATCCTTTGATCCCACATCAACGCCATCACCTCCAGTGTCCAGCTGCTCCGGCTCCTCCTTCAGATCGTCACCAGCGAATGGGGCGGGTGCAGGGACAGGGGATGTAAGCGCCATCGATAAGGTGCGTGGCACGTAAGTAAATTGACGACGATTCTCCTCGGTGAAGTCAGACCATTCATCCTCTTCGCTGAAGGCCTCATCTGAGAAACGGATCCCGAATTTCAGCGAAGCTGAGGCTCCTTTAGAATCAGTTCCCGATGCCTCCGATTGAAAGGCATCCTCCAGGTTGGAGTTGTCCTCCGACGAATACTTCGTTGATTCTTCGAGCGTTTTGTACAGCTCCTCAGCGGCCAAATATTCGGCACTTCTTTTTGACTTTTTGTTATCCTTTTTGGAAAAGAAATCTTCGAGATTGGACATTTTTGTATATTTGTATGTATATTTTAGTCTCTGCCAGGAACAAAACTTTCGGATTGTTTTTCCTACTAGTACAATTTTTCTGCGAAATATCTATTTTTGGAGAAACTCGTCTGAAATTGACAGCAAAACTATTGGTTAATAAGAGCCTACTTGATATTGAGAAATAAATAGACTAACGCCGCAGCTCATGGGGCGTCTATGCACCTCGTCTTCCGATGAATCGCAGCCACAGTTGTCACTGAAATTTACTACAGCAAAACGGACATCGATCTGCGCTTCTTCTATCAATTATTGGATTATTGCATTTGTATATAAGTATATATAAAGTATATATATTCATGATCAGCATCCATCTGGTTATCCACACTCCTGTTAGATTTCGCTGTTACAATTGCCCCGCCCCCTTCCAGCCATACAATGGACTAAAAATCTGTGGCATCTATAATTTAGAAGATACGCGAAAATTAAACGCACAATCATAGTGAATGACCATAAGAAAATAATGTAATTATACATCTCCAAGTTGTATTTTCATTAAGACCAGGAGCTTCTGCTCAAAGATCTAAACTAAACTAAAACGAGGGGGAACGTTGTGAGTTGCTGCGGACACCGCAACTCTAGAGTTATACCCGATACTAAGTCAGTATGGCTCTCCTCCGGCAGACGCCGCTAATATTTAACGACACGACAAAGAGTGCGTGCGAGAGAGACAGAAAATCAGGCTGAGCGTGACGTCGGGCGCTGCGTAGCCACTGCAAATTGATTTGTTCCTTTTGGCTATAAAAATAATCCGATTAAGCAATCTGATAGATATGATCATTCTCTATGATTCTGCGTTTTTAGTTTTCTCAAATCTGCAATATTGTGGATGCAACAGATTTTCGTCCTTTGTGGGGGCGGATGGGGGTGGGGCGAAATTTTGAGATACACGTTTTATAGTGAGATCTAAGAGAAGTGCGGATTCCAAATTTGGTTACTCTAGCGTTAATAGTCTTTGAGATTTGTGAATATCCCCAGATTTGCATCCTTTGCGGGGGCGGAAGGGGGTGTGGCGAAATTTTGAAACAAACTCGTCTCGGTCTGATATATTAGGAGTGTGGATACCAAATTTGGTTGCTCTAGCTTTTATAGTCTCTGAGATCTAGGCGCTAATGTTTTACTCTAAGCAAAGCCGCCTATGCTACCTGTGTGTTAGAGAGAGACAGGGCGAGAAAAAATGAAATTGTTTTCTTGATGCTGGCTATAATAGTAATACGATCCAATTCAGATTCTGCAGTCCAAAAGATATGGTAATTCTCTACGATTCTGCGTTTTTTGTTTTCTCGTATCTTTAAAATTGTGGATGCCACAGATTTTCGCCCTTTGTGGGGGCGGAAGTGGGCGGGGCAAAGTTTTGAAATATTTTTGTAGCAGTGACATATCACAGAAGTCTGGATCCAAAACATCGTTGCTCTAGCTCTTATAGTCTTTGAGCATTAGGCGCTGAAGGGGACGGACAGACGGACAGACGGACGGACGGACAGACGGACAGACGGACAGACAGACATGGCTCAATCGACTCGGCTATTGATGCTGATCAAGAATATATATACTTTATGGGGTCGGAAACGATTCCTTCTGGACGTTACACACATCCACTTTTACCACAAATCTAATATACCCCAATACTCATTTTGAGTATCGGGTATAAAAAGTGAGATAAAAAGGAAACAAACCGGAGCTTAGGGTGTGCCAAAATAAATACAATATACAATACAAATACAAATACAAATACAATACAAAATACAAATAAATACAAAAGCTAATCAAGACAATTCAAAACGAGGGGGAACGTTGTGAGTTGCTGCGGACACCGCAACTCTACGGTTATACCCGATACTAAGTCAGTATGGCTCTCCTCCGGCAGACGCCGCTAATATTAAGCGACACCACAAAGAGTGCGTGCGAGAGAGACAGAAAATCAGTCTGAGCGTGACGTCGGGCGCTGCGTAGCCAGTGCAAATTGATTTGTTCCTTTTGGCTACAAAAATTATCTGAACTGATCCAACTTCAGCAACCGGATAGATATGGTCATTCTCTATGATTCTGCGTTTTTAGTTTTCTCGAATCTGCAATATTGTGGATGCAACAGATTTTCGCCCTTTGTGGGGGCGGAAGTGGGCGGCGCAAAGTTTTGAAATATTTTTGTAGCAGTGACATATCACAGAAGTCTGGATCCAAAACATCGTTGCTCTAGCTCTTATAGTCTTTGAGCATTAGGCGCTGAAGCGGACGGACAGACGGACAGACGGACAGACAGACATGGCTCAATCGACTCGGCTATTGATGCTGATCAAGAATATATAAACTTTATGGGGTCGGAAACGATTCCTTCTGGACGTTACACACATCCACTTTTACCACAAATCTAATATACCCCAATACTCATTTTGAGTATCGGGTATAAAAAACAACAATTTTACTGATAAAATCGATCTATCCTTGAGTTTTGTTTCTCATTCAACGTGCTAAATCGTATCTAGATGTAATTTATATTAGTATGTTTCCATAAAGTTCAGTTCAGAAATAATGCACTAGTTAATGTTTTTTCATAACCAAGTAGCCTGTGAATTATTGTATTCGTTAGAATTATTGTAGCAAGTATCATAATTCATAAGTCGGTCGGAAGTTCAGAAAGATGCCTCGCACCCGAATTGTGTCGCGTCAGGCGAAGCGCGAGAAAGCCGACCAAGAGGAGAAGGTACGCCTAACTCAAATCAAGATCGATGCCGTTCTGGAGCAGGTCGATGAGCTTGAGAAGCGCGCCAAGAATCAGGTTTACACTCAAATCAAGCTCATCCACGCCCGGACTGACAATCATTTTCTTGAGATGAAAATGTCGGAGTTTTTGAATCTGAAGCTGAAATATTTCACCGACTACAAGTGGAAGGGTAAGTGAATGCAAATACTTGCTACTATGACAGCCTCACAGTTATCCTCTTCAGTTCCCGAGCCACCAACCAGCCGAGCACGCAGCAGCTCGATCAGCACCGCTCGCGGACGTTCGCGTACTCCCCAGACCTCCCTTCTGCCGCGCTCACTCATACAATCGATGGACAGGGGTAATTTTAACCGTGGAAGAACCCCACAGAAAGTGCCACCCATGCCTTTTTTACGTTTTCCACGCGCCGGAGAGTTGGTGTTGTCCAGTGGAGGCAGCCCGCTGGCTGTTCAGACTGATCGGCGGGAGGACTGTGCCGACGTACACATACCCACCAAAAAGGGCGTGTTCATGGTAAAACCTCTTAAAATGAAGCAGGTGAACCGTGAGGTGCTCATGCAACTGGACGCGAATGTACTGAACCAAGTGAAGACTTTGAAGAGTAATCTAGAAGTAATTGTGGACATGGCCACCAAAATGGGCAAGATGTAGTGTACGCCCTGCCCTGGACCGCTACTTTGGACGAGCTTACAACCAGTAATACCCGACAAAGATGTATGTAAGAAATAAGTGGATAATACATTTTTCTAAGTATAAAATAATATTATATTACATAGGTACAAAATGGATTACTCATATGGAACAAATGGCAAACTTAAGTTTGCTTGCTAAACTCGACTTTGATCTTGCCACGAACCACGCCTTATCCAACCCAATCAACCAATCCTCCAATCAACAATGCCTTCTGCTGCTCCATCCCAACTAACTTTTTTCGTTTCATTTTGTATCCTCTACAGAATGATGAATAAATTATATTAAAACCAATGATGTGCTCGTATCAGTTGGTAATCCCATGTCAAGCCAGCTGTAGCATGAGAACATTAAACTCACATTACAATGGGAATAAAAAGTACCTTTTACGTACATCTAGCTTACTGAATAACGAAGCCGTTTTGTTCATTCATTTTCAAACCACTTTCACTTCCATCAACCTCAATTTATTAGCCAAGAGAAGTAGAGAAGAAAATTACAGACAACATTAGCTTGCCGATTGCTGCAGACCAGGCTAGTATTGGGGAGTTAAATTTTTCAGGACTGCTGTTGGGTTGGGTTTTGCTCGAAGTCCACGGGGTGCATTTAAGGATATAGCCGATTTTATTGTAAATATTTGGCTCGTTTAGAGCTAATGACACCTCGGGGACCACCAGCGAGTCGTGTAATGCTAATGGGTCTATGGAGTGCCAATTTGTCTGTCAGAATATACAGGGTGAAAATAGGGAGAGTGAGTCTTCTTGTTGTATTTATTATTAAGGGAGCTATGGTTGATTTTAAATTTGAACAGAACAAGTAGAGGCGTCCCGGCTGTTACTTGGGGCGCTTCAATATCTTTGAGTCACTCAAGGACGGAAAGTACTCCAGGCTATTGAGATCGGGGGCTTGGGGCTTGAACGGCATCGTAGACGGAGCCTTGCGCTGAAGTGGCTGCGCCTTGCGTTTGTTAAAGTCGCCCTGGCTCTGACGGAGAGCCGGGGGAATGTAGATTTGTTTCTTGACCACCGGGGTATTCGCTTTCCTGTCTGATTGTCCCTGGCTATCCTGCTCCGACTTCTGCCAGGGACATGTTGTGGCAAGCGCGCGTTCCCCATCCTTTGATCCCACATCAACGCCATCACCTCCAGTGTCCAGCTGCTCCGGCTCCTCCTTCAGATCGTCACCAGCGAATGGGGCAGGTGCAGGGACAGGGGATGTAAGCGCCATCGATAAGGTGCGCGGCACGTAAGTAAATTGACGACGATTCTCCTCGGTGAAGTCAGACCATTCATCCTCTTCGCTGAAGGCCTCATCTGAGAAACGGATCCCGAATTTCAGCGAAGCTGAGGCTCCTTTAGAATCAGTTCCCGATGCCTCCGATTGAAAGGCATCCTCCAGGTTGGAGTTGTCCTCCGACGAATACTTCGTTGATTCTTCGAGCGTTTTGTACAGCTCCTCAGCGGCCAAATATTCGGCATTTCTTTTTGACTTTTTGTTATCCTTTTTGGAAAAGAAATCTTCGAGATTGGACATTTTTGTATATTTGTATGTATATTTTAGTCTCTGCCAGGAACAAAACTTTCGGATTGTTTTTCCTACTAGTACAATTTTTCTGCGAAATATCTATTTTTGGAGAAACTCGTCTGAAATTGACAGCAAAACTATTGGTTAATAAGAGCCTACTTGATATTGAGAAATAAATAGACTAACGCCGCAGCTCATGGGGCTTCTATGCACCTCGTCTTCCGATGAATCGCAGCCACAGTTGTCACTGAAATTTACTACAGCAAAACGGACATCGATCTGAGCTTCTTCTATCAATTATTGGATTATTGCATTTGTATATAAGTATATATAAAGTATATATATTCATGATCAGCATCCATCTGGTTATCCACACTCCTGTTAGATTTCGCTGTTACAATTGCCCCGCCCCCTTCCAGCCATACAATGGACTAAAAATCTGTGGCATCTATAATTTAGAAGATACGCGAAAATTAAACGCACAATCATAGTGAATGACCATAAGAAAATAATGTAATTATACATCTCCAAGTTGTATTTTCATTAAGACCAGGAGCTTCTGCTCAAAGATCTAAACTAAACTAAAACGAGGGGGAACGTTGTGAGTTGCTGCGGACACCGCAACTCTACGGTTATACCCGATACTAAGTCAGTATGGCTCTCCTCCGGCAGACGCCGCTAATATTTAACGACACGACAAAGAGTGCGTGCGAGAGAGACAGAAAATCAGTCTGAGCGTGACGTCGGGCGCTGCGTAGCCACTAAAAATTGATTTCTTGCTTTTGGCTACAAAAATGATCCGATCTGATCCAGATTCGGCGACCGGATAGATATGGTCATTCTCTATGATTCTGCGTTTTTAGTTTTCTCAAATCTGCAATATTGTGGATGCAACAGATTTTCGTTTTTTGTGTGGGCGGAAGGGGGTGGGGCGAAATTTTGAGATATACGTTTTATAGTGAGATCTAACAGAAGTGCGGATACCAAATTTGGTTACTCTAGCGTTGATAGTCTTTGAGATTTATGAATATCCCCAGATCTGCATCCTTTGCGGGGGCGGAAGGGGGTGTGGCGAAATTTTGAAACAAACTCGTCTCGGTCCGATATATTAGGAGTGTGGATACCAAATTTCGTTGCTCTAGCTTTTATAGTCTCTGAGATCTAGGCGCTAATGTTTTACTCTAAGCAAAGCCGCCTATGCTACGTGTGTGTTAGAGAGAGACAGGGCGAGAAAAAATTAAATTGTTTTCGTGATGCTGGCTATAATAATAATACGATCCAATTCAGATTCTGCAGTCTAAAAGATATGGTCATTCTCTACGATTCTGCGTTTTTGGTGTTCTCGTATCTTTAAAATTGTGGATGCCACAGATTTTCGCCCTTTGTGGGGGCGGAAGTGGGCGGGGCAAAGTTTTGCAATATTTTTGTAGCAGTGACATATCACAGAAGTCTGGAACCAAAACATCGTTGCTCTGGCTCTTATAGTCTTTGAGCATTAGGCGCTGAAGGGGACGGACAGACGGACGGACGGACAGACGGACAGACAGACATGGCTCAATCGACTCGGCTATTGATGCTAATCAAGAATATATATACTTTATGGGGTCGGAAACGATTCCTTCTGGACGTTACACACATCCACTTTTACCACAAATCTAATATACCCCAATACTCATTTTGAGTATCGGGTATAAATACAAAAAAACCAAAAAAAAACAAAGTTTTTAAACAAAACCAACCAAAACAAAACACAAAGAAAGTGAAACTATCAGCGAAACCAAAGAAGGAAGACCCCCAGAAGACCCAGTTAAACAAAGAAAATCAAGAAGGAAGACCCGTTCGAAGATCTGTCAGCCAAACTAAGAAGGACGACCCCTACCGGATAGTTCGTGAGCAAAAGTTGTATTAATAAATATATAAGTTCAATTAGGTTATATTAGATTATAAAAACAAACATATAAGAAAAATTTAAGGTGGATCAACTAACTTTAGATTTTGAAAAACTAAAAATGATTAACTCTCAAACAAGGACCGATCTCACTGCAGATCTGGTCAAACAATTGATAGCACTTCAAATTTCACAAGTACAAGAGCAAATTGTAAATTTAAAACAACAAATAGAAACTAAATCCGATCAGGTATCAGATTATCAGGCAGAAACAATAGACGAGACAATAAAAGATGACACCACATTAAAGGTAATAGAATCCCTACCAATTTTCAATGGTGGACTAAACCAATACGTAGGATGGAGGGAAGCTGCAGAAACTGCAGTGAAGTTATATAAGAAAGGAAGTAAGCAATATTATATTGCATTAACAATTTTGAGAAACAAAATAACAGGACCAGCACATGACGCACTGACCAACCACGGGACAGTTTTAAATTTTGATGCCATACTTTCACGCCTTGACTTTGTTTACAGTGACAAGAGACCAATTTACATAATAGATCAGGAGTTAAGCGTTCTCCGACAAGGGAACCTTTCAATTATAGATTTCTATAACGAGGTTAACAAGAAAATGACCTTGTTAATAAATAAGACAATAATGACTCACGGAAAGGACAGTGAAATCACCAAAGAATCAAATAAAACGAGGGGGAACGTTGTGAGTTGCTGCGGACACCGCAACTCTACAGTTATACCCGATACTTAGTCAGTATGGCTTTCCTCCGGCAGACGCCGCTAATATTAAACGACACGACAAAGAGTGCGTGCGAGAGAGACAGAAAATCAGGCTGAGCGTGACGTCGGGCGCTGCGTAGCCAATGCAAATTGATTTGTTCCTTTTGGCTATAAAAATAATCCGATTAAGCAATCTGATAGATATGATCATTCTCTATGATTCTGCGTTTTTAGTTTTCTCAAATCTGCAATATTGTGGATGCAACAGATTTTCGTCCTTTGTGGGGGCGGATGGGGGTGGGGCGAAATTCTGAGATATACGTTTTATAGTGACATCTTAAAGGAGTGTGTGTACCAAATTTGGTTACTCTAGCCTTAATAGTCTCTGAGATTTGTGGTTGCCTCAGATTTTCGTCCTTTGCGGGGGCGGAAGGGGGTGTGGCGAAATTTGGACATGAAACGGTCAAGGTCCGATATCACAGGAGTGTGGATACCAAGTTTGGTTTTCTGGCTTTTATAGGTTCTGAGATCCTTGAACTCATATTTTGCAATTGGCAAAACCGACCATGAAACCTGTGTGTTAGAGTGAGACAGAGCGAGAAAGAGTGAAATTGTTTTCGTGATTCTGGCTATAATAATTATACGATCTGGTTCAGATTTTGCACTCTAGAAGATATGGTCATTCTCTACGATTCTGCGTTTTTGGTTTTATCGTATCTTTAAAATTGTGGATGCCACAGATTTTCGCCCTTTGTGGGGGCGGAAGTGGGCGGGGCAAAGTTTTGAAATATTTTTGGAGCAGTGACATATCACAGAAGTCTGGATCCAAAACATCGTTGCTCTAGCTCTTATAGTCTTTGAGCATTAGGCGCTGAAGGGGACGGACAGACGGACAGACGGACGGACGGACAGACAGACATGGCTCAATCGACTCGGCTATTGATGCTGATCAAGAATATATATACTTTATAGGGTCGGAAACGATTCCTTCTGGACGTTACACACATCCACTTTTACCACAAATCTAATATACCCCAATACTCATTTTGAGTATCGGGTATAAAAATTAGAGACAATGCCTTACGCATTTTTGTCACTGGCCTAAACGGCGGCATTGCAGAAATTCTATTTTCATTGAATCCCC